ACCCCACCATCAGTGAACCCGTGAGGAAAGTAGATAGCAATATAATAACAATATATAGTACATAATCACAAGAACCAGCATAATTTTGCTATCGACAATCACATTGTTATGTTTGGCCTTATAGAGGAAAGACAGCGTCCCTGATTATCAGTATAAAATTTTATGAAATGCCATAACGAAAGGGAGGTTCACAACTCCGAAGCATCAAATAATTGACATGAAAATATAAAGCTTTACAAGCTTTATCTAATTGCAAAATTTACATGATATCTGTCAGAATGATACTACCTGGAGTAAGTTAGACAGAACTACCGAAAGCGCCAGCATGACAGATTGCCTGCAACAACCTGCCATTTTGTCACCAGCACCAATTATTCTCATCCTCAGCACTCATTTTGTGAAGCAAATTAATTTTATTTATATTTAAATACTACATATGTAGTTACAGGACAAAAGAAAACAGGGAAAGATAGCGGAGAGATGAATGAAAGGAGGGACCAAGGCCAGCAAGGAACCACGAGAAAAGGCCAACAAGGAACCACGAGAAAAGGCCAGGAAGGAGCCACGAGGAAAGGAAAGGGAAGGACCACCATGAACGGCCAGAGGAAGGAACCATAAGGAAAGGACGGACCACCACGAACGGCCAGGAAGGAGCCACAAGGAAAGGCCAGGGAGGAACCACCACGAACGGCCAGGAGGTACCACAAGGAAAAGGCCCGAACGGCCAGGAAGGAACCACAAGGAAAGGCCAGGGAGGAACCACCACGAACGGCCAAGGAGGTACCACAAGGAAAAGCCCAGGGAGGGACCACCACAAATGGGAGGAACGAAGATGCTGAGTCGAGAGGTGGTGGTAGTAGCGGTGAAAGAAGGATTGAAAGGACCTTGCATGAAAATTTCCGTCCTGCGCAAACAATGACAAATCAATTTCAACCACTTGCGCTGGTCACATGATTTGAGGTTGTCCGAAAATTCTAAGGTAAAATTTGAGGCTAAGGTGATAGTCACGTGCATGATCTTGGATGACATTGTAATTCACGCAATATTTGAACCAATCTATATAGTTTTGTAAGTCAAACATAAATGAGGTAATATGATGTTGCTCAACAAATGGTACCTAATTACACTATCATACCTCGCTGGTTGAAACTCTCATAAGAATATAAATTAGGTTACAAGTGCTAATGGTTCTTTCCACTGATAAAGTCTTATATCACTTGGTAGTTTAAAACATAAACGAAGGGATATGGTATGAGTCAACAAATATAACTTAACTATGCTATTGCATATTGATTGCTGCAACAGTGCAATGTTGTAATCTTGTCGCGAACTCCTCATGGTAAAATGAATTTTCAGAGATTCATGGCTATGTACCGATAACTAATATTTATTGCTGTATACATAGGTATATTCAGCCATAGCATAATGATATCATCTTATACTTCCCATGGCTACAAAATCAAGGACTCATGAATTCACTGATGACCTGATTTCAATCTCATCTACTTGGCTGCCCACGATCACATTCACACTCTGGACCACCGAGCTTCTCCTCAAAGCCAGTTGAAGCCTCGTTACTTGTGCGTTTGATAACTCCAATAGGGTGGTCAGGTACGTGTAGCACGGCGACCGCGTCGCTTAAAATGACAGATTGTAGGGATGAATGAATTACTTACACTATGGCGCCATGATAAGTTGTGGCATCATTCATTTCCCTCCGTAGTCACATGCTCTGCTCGCTTTTCCTCCTCAAGAGCGGCAAGGAACTCATAACACCGAGTTTCTCAGCACCAACTTGACGTATCCCACCACGACGTTGAGGATAGCTAGAACAACAGAAGCTTGTAAATCACATCTGAAGTTTCACGAGCGCAGCACCCAGGCCTCAGGCTTGATCCTCGTGTACGCAATTCGATGCTAACTCAGACAATCATGGTATTGTCCACGCCTAGTAATGAAGCTAGCACAAGGTGTTGGTAGAGGTTGGGAGACTCTGAGTTCCGATTAGTCGGATCTTGGATGGAGGAAGATGGTTGTGACTTAACTTGAATGAGGCCGTTACATTACCTCCATAGAGAGTAATAGGAGTCGTTAAGCCAGAAAATTCAAGTGCTCAGTGGATAATGGCGACTGCTTCCGGGGCTACATCAGTGCAAGAAAAGAAAATAATAAAATCACGTGCACATTGAACTTTCCATATGTAGCCCAAACCTTATCCCTCATTCTCTCTCCACAGCGGCTGGCAGAAAACATTAGTAAACATTCCTCAGCCACCATAGCAAATCCTTCGGACCTTGAAAATTAAATAGCAACTTCGAAAACTGAACTTAGGGTTTCATTTGTACTCGATATGGAAAATACTGCAGCATCCTCAATATGTTTGATGGAGACGGTAGCCTTTCGCACTTCCTCCTCACAGTCCTCACAGTACCTTGATTTTCCAACCACCCTGCAGTTGTTGACCTTCTGGCCAACATAGGTAACATTATGCGCACCTTATCACAACACCGGAATTTACATAACCCCTTAATTGGATGGGCCAAGGATGCCATTAGCACAGAATGTGCAAGGGAGGTTTGAGAGCTCACAAAAGTGGAGAATGGGTCGCATTTCAGCGCTCTGCATGCGAAAACTGAGCAAATAGAGGGCTTTCAAATTGATAATATGGCTCTACAGATTGAGGGGAGAGGCGCTGGTGCTATGGGCCCTGCTTGATTCCCTCTTGTCCGCAAGAGCTCTCCAAGTCCGGAAAATCGAAAGCAAAGGGCACATGGAGATCGGAATGTTGGTATTGGATGTGCAAGAAGCTGAGGATTCAGAATACTGGGCTCAAGTAGATGACCTAGAAGGTGTTATAGAAGGCATTACTGGTGATTGTATTTCGAGAGCTGAACACCTCGCATCTCAATGTAACGTGACAATGATGCTGGTATGGAAAATATAGATAAAATTTGTGCTTGATCTAAACAGACCTCATCCAGTGGAAAGTAGTAATTGTTTTGCTTCTAAAGAAAAGCACAAATCAGAAGGCCAACTCACTGTCAAGCATACTCGGAATATTTTTGCATTCAACACACGCACCGGAGAAAGTCATCGAAACGATGGCGAAGATGGGTCTCTCGATATCCGTTGATGCAATCCATGATACAGTCCGTTCGCTGTCTGCAGAATCAAGTCATGCACTACAATATCTTGGACAAACACTTTTAGCGGCTTATGCATATGATAATTTTGATATCAACCTGAAGTCCACCGTTCCGACTGCAGAAAATCTACCAATACTCTGAAACATCTCACATCAGGCTTACTGTTTCCCCTACAACATGGTGTCACTTGTGATGATCTAAAATGTTCCTATGAACTGTGGCGAAAATCACGAATCAACCCTCTAAGTGATTGTTCCATTGGACAAACCTGGAAAGACTTATTGTTGCTACACCAAGATGTCTCACATTCTTTAGGTTTCTCTCGACGCAACCAATTTAACTCCTGGAAGTTTTGCATGACCTTTGCTATCATGGACCGCCTGATTTTGCACAGTTTCAGTCTCAAATATCAGCCCCCCAAGTTTTGGAACAAATACCAGTTGCAAAAACTCCAATCATACCAGCCTTGGCAATGGATGTCAACAACTCAACGGTCGCAGGAAACATTCAGGCAATCGAGAGATTAATGGCGCAAGGTGGTGTCTTTGATCCAGCGGATGTGGAGGATGGCGAGTCACCTGATGTTACCGAGTATGTGGTGCTTGTACATGGAGATCTGGGCACGGGTGAACGCATTGCATCTATGCAGCAACGTCGGTCCATTGAAACAACTCCGTGGCAGCGATTCCAACATGTAGTCTTTGTGCCTGGCTTGTTCCACTTGAAAATGGCAGCTGCAGATGCAATATGGAGGGCATTAATCCAGCCGATGTCAGCGCGTCAGGATCAGACAAGTCTGATGCACGATATTGCACAGCTACGGCCACATGAGATAGGGATTTTCGGATCCAAGCCTGGGTTCCGGATGATGCACCAGCTCATTGGCCATGATGGCATCTGTCGGCATTTGGATTGTTGGCGGATAGAAGTCGAAAAAATGAACAATGCTCACAAAATGCTCGATGACTTTGCCATTTCTAAACCAAGCCTAGAGGAACTAAAGGAGATTGCCAACCAACTCGCTCGAGAATATATCACTACCTACAAGCTAACATGAGCTCGTCAGCAGCCTGGTGAACGATGAGATAAACAGTATGAGAATAGCTTGTTGATTAACAAGTATTTTCTACTGTATGAGGAGCTATCCTATGCGATGAACATCGGAGACATCGCGCACGTTGAAACCTGCATCATCGCATGGACATTAATATTCAAGGCGACAGGCAAACATAAATATGCCACATGCATGACAGAGTTTTTGATAAACTTGCACTTCAGTTATCCTGCAGGTTTTCAGTAAGAAGCACGCCTTTTCATTGACTTGAGTACTAATATTTTGGCAGGAAAGCAATATGGTACCATTGGCTAGTCAATCCAACCAGAAAACCCGAATGCTTCCGTGCCGTCGACTGGTGCGTAGAGCTCAACAATCTATTCATCAAAGTGAAAAATGGAGGGAATGGCTCAAACCGTAGTGTGGCGAGGGTCATTCTCAAGTCGCCTCTGGTTGAAGTCTATCGGGGTGCCCATTCCGTCATCGAAACTAACTTCATGCATACGGGGAGAACGAGTTTGCAGGCTGCACCTGATATGAAAAAAAACATTTTAAGGGCTGCTAACGAAGATGCGATCGTCATCTCCACACATTCACATGCCGGGACGACAAAGCACATACTTAGTCCCTGACCTTCTTGACAAGGGGCACGAGCTATTTGAGAAAGGATGGAAGGGAATAGGTACAGAAGACGATGGTACAATAGTAGATGAGGTAGAGCAACCTACAACTGAAGACGTTGTAGGAGAGTTATAATCCCGCATGCAGCGGGATAATAATCCAGGTTGTGCCAGAATTTTCCTTGGTGGCAGATGATTGGTTCGCAGGATGCTCTCGACAGTGGTGATTACGAGCTTGATAGATAGTGTTAGTAAGTAAATATATCAAGCACTAGCCACTAGTAAAGCACGTACCATTATGGCCCTCCTCCCCACAAGCACTACATCGCATCTTTCGTTTCGCATTACGAGGGACCGACACACTTGCGTTAGCATTCGACGGGTTTGTATGAGGCTGCAGTGGGGCTGATGTCAAGGGCGTAGGAAGTGGGCAGACTTGGTGAATCAACACGATAATCTCATCTCCATGTTTGTTGGCTCCTGACCAACAAGTTTCCTTGACCAAGTCGGCTGTGGATTTAATCTTGTAAAAATGAGCGCATTCAACAATGCAGTCTAGAATACTATTAGGCATTATGATCCCAGGTCCAAGATCATACAAATGAGCATGGCCGTAGAGCTTGAGAGTAGTTTCTTCCTGCCAGTCCTTGAGCATGTCAATCAACTTAAAATCAAGTGAGGCCATGGAAAACTTGACAAGGTGTGAGCGTGACAGTTGTTTTTGTTGTTTCAGGATTGCAGAGATGAATGGGACAAAATATGCTGGTGTGTGAATATCGCAACAGACACTCGACTGTGTGATGAGACACTGGAGACAGCCCGAGGTCTCAAGAGCGTCACATTGGTGATGATCAGATTCTGTTATTTGGACAATGAATCAGGCAGGGGAAGTAAGCTAGATAAAGTAAGTCTCACCTGCTTCCTCATTCTTGAAAAACACGTTCAATACCTTACGACGACAACCAATTCCAGGACGTATATCAGCGTTAATGAAGTAGTCCATAGCTGGCTCAAGTCCGGTTGGTTGGGAGGTCTTCCATTGGCTGGCTAATATTTGTCTTCTCTCTAGGCACCTCCATCTTCGCCCGTAATTGCCAGGTATCCATTGTATCACCAACATGAATTTGTTGAATGTGAGTGCTGCTGATTTATATCTCGTCATCAGATCTTTCTTCTCCTGGTGGAATGTTCACGGCAACAGGACCATTCTTGCCAGTAGTAACAGTGCACTGTTTCTTTGAAGATGTAACTTTTCTTTTTGCTCGCTCCACTCTCCGTTTCTCTTTCTCTGCTTTATATACATCAGAGTACTCCTTCTCAGCAAATAGCATCGCAGTCCCCTCCAATGACATATTTCAAACAGCATGACCAAAGCGCTGCCATATCGTAGACAGTGAACACCATGTTGCCTGCCACTGAATTACAATGTGGATATCAGTGATATCAATGCCCTGTGTTGTGGTAAGTTCATTGATCATTAATATCCCTAAATTCAACTGACCATTCCAAAGGATTCTGTCATACAAAACCCCCATGTGATTCCTTGTGTATAATTCTTCACCTCGTCTTGTTTAAAGTACATTGTCATGCCAGCATTAGACCACTTGACCTTATCTTGACATTCTTGTGGCAAACACGACTGCAGGAACTTTGTGGCCTCGATAGCATTGTTTATATTGTCGAAGAAGACGAGAAACTTAGGAAGGGGCAGGTCTCTGAGTTTCTACCGGTCGGGAATGAGGAATGCAAGGTCTGCGAAGCTTTGGTATGTTCCCTGGATGGGCTTTACTCCAATATTTATATTTGGCCGATCTATACTTCAATGAATAGTGATGAGTTTATCCCCGCTCTGTAGATGGAGAAGTCTGGTGACATCTTGCAGTGTGGACGAGGAGAGAGTCACAGACGTCACGAGAAATGGTATCTCTAGGGGGAGGATGAATCTTAGTCTACCAAGCTCCTTGTATTCTGGGCGAAATTCTCCCCATGAGCTGACACAATGAGCTTCGTCTATAACCATGCCCATCATGTGTGACACAAACAAAGGATTTTTGAGTAGTGTCTCGAAACCTCCGCCATCCTTCATAACCTGTTCAGGACTGATAACGACAACTCGATACTCCAGGTTCTCTATTGCCTAGTATATAGATGACCATTAATTGCTAGGTACCATTGATACCATCCTGCTGACCTGAAAGTTATATGCTGTTGCAGTTTCTGCATGTATAGATATAGCTGAAATTCCCGCTCTTTTGAGGTCCATGACATTTTGCTCGCCAAGTAAATTCAAAGGAGTAATCACGACTTGTACACTGGTGGAGTCAAATAGTAGAGGCATCCAGAATGTGAGAGTTTTGCCCTTCCCAGTCCCAGCAACACAAATAATATCACGATCTTGGAGGAGAAAAGCTTCAGCAACTTTGAGCTGCCAAAGGCAAGCCCTGCATCTAAATACCTCCTCTGTCTGCGCACGAATCAAAGCGAGAGAAGGCGCTATGATCAATTATTGACGTCACCGAGTTAAGAATATGGTAATGTTACATAACCCAAAATATTAATGTATTTCTTTGATTATTTCACTTTATTTCAAGGTCCGAAGGGTTTGCTACGGTGGCTGAGGAATGTTTACTAATGTTTTCTGCCAGCAGAGAACGAGGGATAAGGTTTGGGCTACATATGGAAAGTTCAATGTGCACGTGATTTTATTATTTTCTTTTCTCGCACTGATGTAGCCCTCTTCTCTCGACACTGCGGTTGGGAAGGAACCTGGTCTTACATTAGAATAAGCGGTGGAACAACAAATGGAAGTTGGTAATAGCCTCGGCCAAATTATGTGATGGTTACGCCTGACCCTGGTACTAATCAGAAATGAACGCTTGCTCGAGCGCATTACGACTTACGATCTCCGGCCGGCCTAGTACCAAATTTCAATCCCATACGGGCAGTTGTGCACCAGTACATTGGTTGCGTTATGCTGATATGGAGGAAATATCAATCCCGTTTTGACTTCACCTGACGTCTTTCCAACTCCGTCACCTGGGTATAACATTCCTCTAGGGCATAGTGATGTTTCCGAACAACAGTCCAGCATGCACACCTGTATTACTCCTCTACCAAGTTCTGTGGGACAACCGAGTCCTACCCGTGATACGGATGAGCCTCGCCAAAGACCCGTTCAGAACCTCTGCTCTCCATTTCGTGACAGTCGGATACATCATGATATTCAAAGCATGGAAACACAATCCAAACACATTACGACGTACCCTCGTCAACCTGCCACCATCTTCTGATGACATCAGTAATGATTTATCACTGCTTGAAGATGAACTTCGTGCATTTCCGCGCCCTCCTTCTGACATCATGCGCAACCTGTGTCGGCTTGTGACTCGTGCACAAAGACAGTTCAAGCCCTATGACCCGCACCGTAGCCATGTCCCAAATGCCTTAGAACTCCGTTTTATTCACAGGTCTGTCGGGAAATATGCTAGCGAGACTGATATGAGTCTGGCTGACGTCCAAGAGGTATGTCAACCATGTATACACCACTTCACAGTGATAATCGTTATACCAGGGCAAAGATATATTCGAGCGTGGCCTGAGAGGCATGTCTCATAAGGCTGTCACTCAAATTGTAATCGCGAATCCATGCGCTTGCGTGTTCTAACAACGGCCTGGGAGATTGAGGCAATGCTGCAAAACATCAAGGTTCTTGAATCCATTCTTGAGCAAGATGCTCACGAATACGGTCGTAGCATTGCGGATGCTTCATACTTCCAAAGGTATTTGGCTGGACGCAACAAGCAGGAGCTTGAGGCTAGCATGGACTTCAGTGTTGGGGCACATAGTCACGATCTTGCATCGTTCGTTGTTGCTGACGTACAACTTGATCACACTGAGGCCCTTGCGCGCAAGTTGTGTATGCCCGAGGAAGCTCCCGTTGAGGCTGTGAAGGGGTAGTTCTCCAACTCCGATTGCTAGGTGGCGTGAATATCATACCGTCTATCTTTGCGATACTGATTATTGATCATAAAAGCCTCGTCCTGTTTGGGTGTCGATTGTTGTAAATAGGTGACGAACTCGATGTGCCAAAGACCCCCCCCCTCCTCTGCGACATTATGCAATAAATATTTGATTCACTCGTATTTTTTGGACTACGTCATAAATTAATGCCAGTGCTTGTCCGGGTGGCTTGCATTTGTACGACTTTTGATGAGGTTGCTTATCAGTGTCACAGCGGCCGTCGATTATTCTCTCTGCTCTCTGTTCAACATACAAGCATAGCACGGCCGCTCGCGGCAGAGCCCGCTACGGTCGCTTTGTCGAGTCATAATGTGAATCAATTGGTGTTATAGACACAAGTATCGTACAGATTACGGGACACCATTACATATGGCTTTTCGGCGCCTCGACACCATTTGGAGCCAAGATCAATTATTATTTTCTCAAGTGTCTGTCCTTGCGACTTATGTGCAGTGGTCACGAACCCGGGAAGAACTGGCACTTGCGTTCGAGTGATGCGACACATCGTCTTGGAGTTGGGATAGGTAAATTTGAGCTCTACGGAGTCCTCGATTATTGGGATTTGGTGCGGAGACAAGTTCGGGAGTGCATCATCTGACGAGTGACTGATTTATACGATGCAGGATCTTAAGACCCGTTGTCCCTCATCGTTCAGCGAGTGTCCGACTTTCCTGAGCTTTAGGACCCATTTGGGTAGCTAGACATAATCCCACTTGGATAACAGGCGAAGAAGACACATTCTCTATAAATCATTAGTTAGCCTGGAGCCATATGAAAATGATTCGGACGAATACACGTACCTCCAGGCCGAAAATTCAAGTATGACCAGCAGAAAACTGCGCAAGATCCATCTCCGAAGGCCGAAGAAATCGAAAGTCATCGAACTTCGCATTTACGAATGCGAGCCAATCACGGCCAAGTTCGACATCGCACCCATCCAGATAGACGGGGCAAAATGTTTGTCGAGAATCATACCAACCGTTGACAGTAGGAACATTAATGCGCACCGGACCAGAAGTCAACTACACAGCCACTCCACCATGTATGAATAAGTTGACGGTATGAACAAGAGATTTGCCAAAGCGCTGACCTATGTACCACATAAGACACGAATGTATGTAGGTTTCGGTGCTGGGGTGACGGGTGACGTCGCTCGAAAAGGCAACTACGCGGGTTATTGAAGAAATATATGGACACGGTGGAAGGGGAAGTGATGCATATGCTCCACTACTCAGTCTCGGGGCGGGGACGGGCCATACCGGACTTCATAGGGAGGGGAGTTTGAGCAGATCGAGAATGACACTCATCAACCTACGAGGTTCATTGAACGGGTATTGCAAAATGTAGATCTGTTGAGTGCGAGCACCACCTATTTACACCGTTCGCCACCCGGTACACCAAAGGCAGTTACTGAGTGAGTAAGGTGGAGCCACGAGCACTATTCGGAAGGGTGACGCCTTCGTTGTTCGATATTCGGAAGTCGGGTTTGAGTCGGAGTGTCCACTCGCGCGCCACAATTGTGGGTGAGGTAAACAAGGTAAGACTGACTGGCATCGTTTGCATCACGTGATCACATTCTTGCCAGTGATTAATATTTTAATGTTAACGTTCAGAGACTACTACTAGTACATATTCCTTTCCGGCAATAACATTTTCTTCCAGCACGTCCAAATCGACCCCAGGCCTTGGTGATATGGCATCAGAAGCGGAGCTCAAAGCCTTTATCGGTCGCCATCGTGAGCTGCTCTCAAAGGAACGCAACGCAGAAATCGAGCGAACTGCTCTGCTGCTCACAAACTGCGGCCCTAAACTTCTGGAACAAAAAGGGCTTGCGCTTGGGAGTCTGAGTGTGGTTGGAATTAACATAGGCCTAGGCGGGAAAACGTGTGGTGTCATTCGTTTTCTTCTGCCTTTCCGTTTCCTGATTGCTGTCTTACGGAAAAGCGCAGATTAGTCGAACTAGAGCGTCCTACAGCGTTTCACACTTCACAGTTATTTCCTCCTCATAACTTCAGGTATGTCATTGATCACATACGTGAAAATTTTGTAGTTCAGGTCTCAGAAAGACCGGGAGACCTTGCTCGTATCGAAGAGAATGTATCCTCGAATACTACCGCCAAAAAATCTGCAAAAAGTAAGAAGGCCCCATCTGCTGGCGCTGAAAGCCCCCATACTGCAGAAGGTGTGGTATACAAAGTATGACCTTGTGCAATTCATTTAGGCGGTCACTGACTCGCGCACTCCAAATAGGTGTCAGATACACGCATCGTCATTGCAGTGGACTCTTCAGATTCCAGATCAGACGATCTTGACCTTCCTGAGCGCTGTCGAGTGCTTAAATTGGCTAATAGCGTCACTTATGACAGGTAATCGCGCTGTTTTTTTCCCATGCGAGTATATTAAACTGTACCATATTCAAGAATGGATAAAGCGCTCAGCCAGTTAGAAAAAACCTGCATTCCTTCATCAAGACAGGCAACTAAACCATACAACTCTGCTCTCCTGATTGCTAATAGCAGCTCAAACAGTCTAGTGACAAAGGTGACTATGAGCTAACACCTCTCATCCGAGTTTTACTCGGAATGTCACCACCTTCTGAAAAGATTCCTATTGCGGAACTTAAGTTCTTTGACGAATCTCTCAATCCGAGCCAGCAACAAGCTGTCAAATTCTCCCTTGAATCCCAGGAAGTCGCTTGTATCCATGGTCCACCTGGTAAAGCTACCTGTCCTCCTACTGAATATAATTATCTGATGATAATAATAGGGACAGGGAAAACACATACCTTGATCGAAATTATACGACAACTCACCTCTCCTTCGGAGAATAGCATCAATGAGAAACAGAAGCGCATCCTTGTGTGTGGCGCTTCCAACCTATCTGTCGATAATATCCTAGAGCGTCTTCTTGCCATACCACCTCCTGAGAGGGGCAAGAGAACGCTCTTGCCAGCTACTCGCATAGGCCATCCCGCGCGCGTAATGGCTAATCAGGGCGTCTTAGAAGCAACACTAGAAGTGAAGGCCAACAAGAGCGATCAAGTGATTCTACCCTAGCATCTGATAAGGTGGCTGGTACTGAGACTTTGAGTTAGGCCGCACTTGCAAGGGACGTCAAAACTGAGATTGAATCAACGCTCGATGTGCTTTCTGGGAAGGGGAAAGGCTCCAAGAAACCGAGAGGTTCGGAACGCAAGAAGATGTGGGAGGAGGTAAAGGCTCTTAGGAAGGAGTAGGCACAGACACCTTGCTCAGACTCGGGGTGCGTACTCACTACTAGTTTAGATATAGGCAGCGTGAAGGCGGAGTTGTCAAGACTGTCCTCGGAGAGTCTCAGGTATGGCTTGTACTATCATGAGTTACCAGGACGATCATTGATTAACTGCAGGTCGTCCTTGCTACATGTCATTCCGCTGGGAGCAGGCAGCTCCGTGACCATAAGTTTGATGTAGTCATTATTGACGAGGCAACA